TTATTTTTTAGAGAGGGAGAGGTGGGGAGGGATACAGAGAGAATCCCAAGCAGGCTCCATACCCACTGCGGAGTCCCAATGCGGGGCTCGATCCCACAATCCTGAGATCATGACGTGAGCTGAAATCGAGTCTGATGCTTAACCGACTGAGCCACCCAGGTGCCCCAAGGTTTTATTTTTAAGTAATGTCACACCTAAGTTGGGGCTCAAACTTACAACCCTGAGATCGAGTCACACGCTTTACTGACTGAGCCAGCCAGGCACCCCTTAATAGCATCCTTCTAACTGCCCTGTTGAGAAGAGACTGCAGGGGCAAGAGCAGAAGCAGGAAACCAGTTAGGGGGTTGTTGCCATATTGCAGGTAAGAGCTGATGGTGGCTTGGAATAAGGTGATAAGATGTGGTTGGATACTGGTTATATATATTTTTTAAAGATTTTATTTATTTATTCATGAGAGACAGAGAGAGAGGCAGAGGGAGAAGCAGGCTCCCAAAGAACAGGGAGCCCGATGCGGGACTCGATCCCAGGACACTGGGATCATGACCTGAGCTGAAGGCAGATGCTTAACCATCTGAGCCACCCAGGCGCCCGGATACTGGTTATATTTTAAAAGGAGGGGCAAAAGGAATTGCTAACGGGTGGATGTGGGCTGTGAGAGAGGGTATTTCAAGCATAACTCCAAGGTTTTTTTACCTAAGGAAATGGAAAGGTGGGAAGACCACAAAAGGAGTAGGTTGTGGGAGTAAGTTTAGGCGATTGATTTTGGACATACCAAGCTTGAGCTGCCTGTTTGAAGTCCAAGCAGAGGTGTTAATATGTTGTTGGACATACAGTGTGGAGCTCAGATCTGGGCTGGAGATACACCCTTTGGGCGCCATCACAGAGATGGTGTTTAAGACTATGAGATTGGGGCGCCTGGGTGGCTCAGTTGGTTAAGCGACTGCCTTCGGCTCAGGTCATGATCCTGGAGTCCCGGGATCGAGTCCCGCATCGGGCTCCCTGCTTGGCAGGGAGCCTGCTTCTGCCTCTGACCCTTCCCCCCTCATGTGCTCTCTCTCATTCTCTCTGTCTCAAAAAAAAAAAAAAAAATCTTAAAAAAAAAAAAGACTATGAGATTGGGAGAGATCACTGAGGGAGTGGGTGTAAATGGTGAAAAGAAGTCTGAGGACTGAGCTCTCAGTCTTCCGTGGAGCCTCCAGTCCACAGTGGCATCTTGGCTGTTTCTCTGACACCTAGGAGTGTTTCAGAGTTAAGATGAGGAAGCAAAAGAGAATGAGCAGGAGGAAATCCAGGAGTGTGGTCTAGAAGATAAGTGAGGAAAGTGGTGGAGGAGAAGGTAGGAATCAAGCGCAGGCATACCTCAGAGATATTACAGGTTTGGTTCCAGATCACCGCAATAAAGTGAATATTGCAATAAAGCCTGTCAAATGAATTTTTTGGTTCCCAGTGCACATAAAAGTCATGTGTATGCTGCACTGTAGTCTATTGTATACGATACCATTATGTCTAAAAGCCATGTACATACCTTCATCAAAAAATACTTTATGGGCGCCTGGGTGGCTCAGTCGTTGGGCGTCTGCCTTCGGCTCGGGTCGTGGTCCCGGGGTCCTGGGATCGAGTCCTGCATCGGGCTCCCTGCTCGGCAGGAAGCCTACTTCTCCCTCTCCCACGCCCCCTGCTTGTGTTCCTTCTCTCTCTGTCAAATAAATAAAATCTTAAAAAAAAAAAACAACTTTATTGGGCGCCTGGCTGGCTCAGTTGGTTAAGCGACTGCCTTCGGCTCAGGTCATGATCCTGGAGTCCCTGGATCAAGTCCTGCATCGGGCTCCCTGCTTGGCAGGGAGTCTGCTTTGCCCTCTGACCCTCCCCTGTCTCATGTGCTCTTTCTCATTCTCTCTCTCTTAAATAAATTTAAAAAAATACTTTATTGTTTAGGGGTGCCTGGGTGGCTCAGTCGTTAAGTGTCTGCCTTCAGCTCAGGTCATGATCCCAGGGTCCTGGGAGCGAGCCCCGCATCAGGCTCCCTGCTCCGTGGGAAGCCTGCTTCTCCCTCTCCCACTCCCCCTGCTCTCGCTATCTCTCTCTGTCTGTCAAATAAATAAATAAGATCTTAAAAAAAAAATATTGTTTAAAAATGCTAATCATCTGGGGCGCCTGGGTGGCTCAGTTGGTTAAGCATCTGACTTCAGCTCAGGTCGTGATTTCAGGGTCCTGGGATGGAGCCCCGCTCAGCTGGGAGTCTGTTCTCCCTCTGCTCCCCCCGCCCCCCGCTCGTGCTCTCTCTCACTCACTCTCTCTCTCAAATAAATAAATGAAATCTTAAAAAAAAAAAAAAGTTTTGCTATAAAGAACCACAAAGAGGGGCACCTGGGTGGCTCAGTTGGTTAAGCATCCAACTCTTGAATTCAGCTCAGGTTATGATCTCAGGGTTGTGAGATCGAGCCCGGCAGCTCCACATGGAGCCCACGCAAGATTCTTTCTCTCTCCCTCCCTCTCTCTCTCCGCCCGGCCCTTGCTTATGCACGGCCCTTGCTTATGCACGCGCACATGCTGTCTCTCTCAAAAACAAAGAAGTGAAGCAATAATGGGAGGAGTATAGTGTATTCAAAAGATCTTTTTTTTTCCTTTTTAAGACAAGAAGGGGAAAAAGCATATTTATATACTAATGGTAGTGATCCAACCAAAAAGAAAACAAGATGATGAAATGGGAAGTAGTGGCAGGTTGACCTTAGCTGGGAGCATGGTTAGTTCAGCTCTAATAAAAAGAGGAAGGCACAGCAAAGTGTGGCGGGAAGATAGGAGCTTTTAGTCTCTTCTGATGGCTTCTCTTTTCTCACTGAATTGGGAAGCACAATTCTCACTGAACTGGGAGATGCTGAGCTGAGAGTGAGAGCAGTATAGGAAGCACAGAGGGTTGAACAGATGGGTGAGAATTTAGGTCATCTAGAAGTGCAGAAGAGTGAACAGACTAGAGAAATCTTGTCGGAATGCTGGGCAGCATTAGGGCCCACTTGAGGTTCATGGTCATGAATTTGAGAGGAGCTCCCATAGTTGGGTATTTTCTTCAGCCATATTCAGCTGCTTTGGGCAGGCTCGGGGTAGACGGGGAGTTGCATCTAGCAGGGCTGTGATTTTGCCAGGAGGTTAATAAAGTGAGAGAGGGACAAGGGAGTGCTTTTCACTGACCATGAACTTTAAGCTGGGTAAGATGGGAAGTGAGTGGGGGACAGCAGAACGAGGGCAGGATAAATGGATTGGACTCCAGTGAGGTGGAGGGTTGTTGGGGTCAGGGCACCTTTCCTTGACCAAACTTCAGTCAGCCTTCTCTGAGCCCTCTTTGGACTTGGCCTCTGCCTTGGCCCCCATCCTTGCTGGGCCTGCCTAGCCCAGTTTAGGGAGCATCTTCCCCACCCTTGATATCTGATCACCCTGGCCTGCCTTCAGCAAGAATCCTAAGTTAGAATCCCCCTAGTCTTGGTGTTTCCTCTCGGTAATCACTCATCACTGACCCCCTCATTCTGCTGTTGGCTATAAATCCCCAGCTGCATTTGCTGTATTTGGAGAAGAGCCCCATCACTCTCCCCTATTGTGATAGTTTGGACACCTATTACAAGAGTCCTGAATAAAGTCTTCCTTACCATTTTAACCAGTGTCAGATTAATTTTTTCCTTGGCAGGCATACCAGAAAAGGGGAACAGAAAGGAGGAGGGGCTGCAGTTATTTACTGGCAAGGACAAAGTCTGGGCATAACCATTGGGGATTGTGGAGGGTGAGATCTGTGCCAATCTATGGAGTTCAAGCAACCGCCACACCAGGGTGTTGAAAGTCTCATCAGTATGGATATTGAAATCATCAAAAACCATGACAGGATGGTGTGGGAAAGATCCATGAACCAAACTCCATCGTGGGCAGCACAGATGACCACTGAATATGCCACAGTTCAGCTGTTCATGAGACCTCTCCCCGGCAAAGCCACATTTGGGCTGCTTTGAGCCCGTTCCTCTCTTAGGGCAATGTTGCAGATAATCTACAGCCAGAGACCAGTGGCAGTAACAGCAGGGTTACTGAGGCTCAAGTGACAGTGTAGCCACAAAGGACTTTATCAAGATTAGAAACTGATTAAGGAAGCCCTCCCAGCTTCAGTTTCCTAATGAAGCATCTACCTCACAGAGTGCTTATGCATATATAGTGTATGCAAATGACTTACTGTACGTTTAGGCAGTGTTTTCAAGCGCCCGTTAGTTCATGGAACCCTCTCGTAGCAACCTTATGCAGGGTTCTAGTTAATCCCCATTTTACAGATGAGGAAACCGTGCCAGGTGGTGCTCATGTTGATGGTACCTGTAAAGAGTGAGGAGGGGGGGGAATCCCATCTTCCGGAAGCTCACAAGTCCTGTCATCTCTGCTCGAGGGGACAACACCGCGCAGGGAGGCATGAAAGCCGCAGGAGGACGTTGCGGACTGACGGTGGCCTGTGCAGCCGGGGCTCGCCGGGGATCAGCGGCCGATGGCTCCCTCCGATGGCGGACGCGGAGAGCGCAGCCGGTGGGAAGAACCGGCCGTGAGGGGTGGACCTCCGCGGGGGTGAGGGCTGAGGCCGGTACCCTAGAGACATTCCCGGGATTCGTGAGGCTGGAGGAAGAGGACCCCGGAAGGCGCCGAGCGACGCGGCCCTGCGTTCCTGACGACGCACCTGGGCCAGGTGTCACGGCCCCGCCCACCTGCAGTAGCCTTCCGCAGTCACCGCACGCCCCTTTCAGTGGTGGCTCCTCCGAGCGCCTCCGCGAGCTCGGATTGGGGCCCACCCGCACAGCTGGCGCTTGTTTGCATCGGGGTGATGGGCGCCTTAGGAGCCGTGGCCTACACCGTGGCCTCAGGGGCGACCTACGGAAGCATCCCGGGCGCACGTGGAGTGGGAGCCTGAGCTTCGCCGGCCCCCAGAGCCCGAAGGGGGCGGGGCTTCATGGGCGCGCCCACGGGGCGGGGCTGGGCCCGGGGACCAATGGGGCACGTGGGCTGGGGGGGGCGGGCTCCGGGCCTGGCATCCCGGTAGCTGCCGCTGGCTTTTCCGGCACCCGCGCCCCTTCGACCCGTAGCGGACCCCCTCCGGCTCTCGGGGATCGCCCCCGGGCGGCTGCGTCCTCCGGGTGGGTGAGTGAGCGCCCTGCCACACCCGGGCTGTGGGGATGCGCCTGGCCGGAGAGAAGCGGATCTCGGCCCCCTCCAACCCTCCCGGGGAGAAAGTGGGCAGCAACCGGGGTGGGGGGGAGGAGGACCCACCTTATGTTGCTGGCCTGAGTCTTTGTTTTGGTAGTCGAGGGGTTGGTCGAGATTGCAGGGCGCCTCGTGTGGGTGGGAGGAATCTGGTGAGGCTGGGGGGAGAGGAGCTGGTTTGAAATGGGTTGAGAGAGAGGATTGAGGGAGGGCGGGGCTTTGGAAGATTTGGAAATTTCTCGTTGCCATGGGTGAGGTGATTGCTTGGGGGAGTTGGGAGGGGGACAGCTCAGGACACCGGAGGAGGGGGTGAGGAGGGCCTCCTGCCCAGAACTCACTTCCCTTTTTAGGGGATTTGTTTCCTCTTGCACTGCTAGTTGAAAAGGGAGAGTAGCTTTGACTCTTTTCAGAGCCATTGCCATCTTTAGTCTCAGGGATATGGGGGGGGGGTGGTCCCCAGGAGCTGGGAGGGGACTTGGTACCCAAATGCTAAGGGTGTGGAGTCTGCCATTGTCCTGGGAAGTGGCAAGGACCAGTGTGCCCCTCACGAACTTTCTGAGTTGCTGGTGAGTTCTTGCAGCTCTCCCTTTTGGGAAAGTTTCCAGGTGTTTGGTTAGAGATGTTTTTGAGGGGCTCCATGGAGCTGCTTTCCATTAAGCAAACTGTCTTTTGCAGGCCTCATAACCCACTGGTGGCTTCTGCCTGCTCTCTGCCATGGCCAGTGAGAACTCTCCTCTGCTGGCCTACCGGCTCCTGGGGGATGAGGGGGTTGCCTTCTCTGCCAATGGGGCCGGGGGTCCTGGAGGGGCATCTGCCCGGAAGCTCTCCACTTTCCTGGGTGTGGTGGTGCCCACGGTCCTGTCCATGTTCAGTATAGTTGTCTTTTTGAGGATTGGTGAGTGGCGTGTGGGGCTTCCTCAGGGGTGCAGTGGGGTGAGGGAGGGGTGGGACTGGGATGAGGTGGGGGAAGGGTCCTGGGAGAAGTGGGTAGATGAAGAGCTCGGGGAGAGGGCTCCCGGTGGCCTTGTGTTTAGCTCTGCCCTGCAGGTAACTGATGCTGATGACCAGTGTGGTGGTGGGATCCATGAGCCACCCTCTGACCTGCTTTGCCACTCCTGTCCCAGGGTTCGTGGTGGGCCATGCTGGGCTGCTACAGGCTTTGGCCATGCTCCTGGTCGCCTACTTCATCCTGGCGCTCACCGTCCTCTCTGTCTGTGCCATCGCCACCAACGGAGCTGTACGGGGGGGTGGCGCCTACTGTATCCTCCAACATTGATGGATTGGGGTCTGGGCTTTTCTGTCTTGTAGGGAGGAGATGGGGCCGGGGCAGGGCAAGAGGGAGGCAAGTTCTAATGAATGTTCAGCAGGCAGGCCGATATGGGGAAGGTGACCAACATGGCCTTACATGTATGTTAGTGCTAGTCTCCTTTCCACCAGGTGCTTCCCAGCTGTCACTGTGGTTCTCCCAACAGTCTTATCAATTCGGTCGTTCATTTTACAGATGAGGAACTTGGAGCTCAAGAGTATTAGTGACTTGCGTAAAGCCACGTGGCTTGGGAGTGGCTGCGCTGGGCCAACTTGACACTGGGGACGGTCCTGGTGTGTGCAGGGAGACAGGGCTGCAGAGTGCTTTGTGCCCAGACCCTTCTTCCTGCTCCATTTCGCTCTCTTTTCCCTTAACACTCACCCCCTCCTTCCACTTTTAGTTATGATCAGCCGGACGCTGGGGCCTGAGGTTGGGGGCAGCATTGGCCTCATGTTCTACCTGGCTAACGTCTGTGGCTGTGCCGTCTCCCTCCTGGGGCTGGTGGAGGCCGTGCTCGATGTCTTCGGGGCCGGTCTGTGCTCCAGGCGGCTCTCTGGGTTTGCGGGGTCTGGGATTCTGGGGTCATGAGGGAGAGAGCCCTCTCTAGAAGAAGGGCCGCGTGGTCCATTAGCTTGGCTTTCTTGAGTGCCTCCTGTGTTTCCCGCCTCATGGGGACATCTGAAAGATAGTCCTGGCCCACAGGCAGCTTACCCTCTGGTTGGGGAAGCCCAGGCTAGCACCCCTAAAATCAACAGAGCAAGATTGGTGCTATCCAGCAGGGAGGGGTAGGATGCTGGAGGACAGTTGAGTAGGGGAGTGGGCAAGATAGCCTTTGAGGACAGTGGGGCCAAAGAGGGGGTTTGTTCCTGCTTTGATTCATGGTTGGGATCCCTCCTGGGGGTCTGGTCTTCTAACTCTCTTCCTTCCTCTTTGTAGACTCCACGCGGTCCAGTGGGCTTCAGGTCCTGCCCCAGGGCTATGGCTGGAGCCTGCTCTACGGCTCCCTGCTGCTGGGCCTTGTGGGTGGGGTCTGCACACTGGGTGCTGGCCTCTATGCCCGCGCCTCCTTCCTCACATTCCTGCTGGTCTCTGGATCCCTGGCCTCGGTGCTGGTCAGCTTTGTGGCTGTGGGGCCCAGGAGCATCACCTTGGCCCCTCGGCCCGGCCCCAATGGCTCCTCCCTGCCGCCCCAGGTCGGCCACTTCACTGGCTTCAACAGCAGCACCCTGAAGGCCAACTTGGGTGGTGAGCTGGGCACAGGGGTGACAGGGTTCTCAGGGCAAGGGGCAAGCCCGTGAGGGAGCCGGGCCCTTGGAATCCCTGGATAAGAACAGACGTCAGAGAGAATTAGGGTCAGGAGGTCAGATCTCTGAACAGTGCAGGTCATTTAGGATCTGGCCAGTGTGTCTGGCCCAGTGGGGCGTCAGCATGACCACGAGACCGATCCTGCCTTAGAGGAATTTTTTTAGTCAGAGAGATAAAAAGGGCATTCAGAAAACAATTAAATCGCACAATAAGACCAAGAATGATTCAAGTGGATGAGAGTCAGGCGAGGGGTTGTCTGGGGACGGTCCTGGTGTGTGTAGGGAGACAGGGAGGAGGGAGGCCTGAGTGTGGGCTGGGGGCGGGGGAAGCAGGTGGAGCTGGAGGTCGCCTGAGGTGGGTTGGGGATTTCAGGTAGGAGCCAGCGGGAAGGTGTCTCAGGAAGGAGCAAGGACGAAGGCCTGGAGGGAGGAATGAGGAGAATGGGGGCGGGGGTAGGGAGAAGGAGGTGATGAGGCCAGCTGAGCCAGGGGCCTGTGGCCGGTCAGGGCTGGGGTCTTGGGGAGGGTAGTGGGGGAGGCGTGGGAGTTTGGGGCATGTGGTGAGAGGGTGGCAGGGCCAAGATGCCTGGATCCCTCTGAGGGATACCGATGCCCTCTCCTCCCTGGGAACCATCCCTCAGCTGGCTATGCCAAGGACTACACCACGGGGGCCATGATGACCTTTGCCAGCGTCTTTGCCGTCCTTTTTAACGGCTGCACGGGCATCATGGCGGGGGCCAACATGTCAGGTGAGAGCCTCTGCCCGCCGCCCCCTGGGGTGTGGGATGGGTTCCCTGTGCCCCTGTGGGAGTGCTGAGGGCTCCAGGATGTAGGGGATGGTGGAGGGCTGACCTCTACCCTTCTGCTCCTCTCCCTCCAGGGGAGCTGAAGGACCCCAGCCGGGCCATTCCTCTGGGCACCATTGTCGCGGTCACCTACACCTTCTTCATCTACACCCTGCTTTTCTTCCTCTCCAGCTTCACCTGTGACAGGTGCCGGGGGGGAGGGGGGCGGCGGGCAGCCTGGCCCTTGAGGGGGTGGAGCAGGGTCATGGAACAAGGCTGCCACACCTGATCACCCAGCGCGTTCAGGCTGGTGGGGCAGGTACCCCTGTTGTCGGGATGCAGGGAACACGAAGACTGTTTATCCCACTGGGAGAGAGAAGGAAGTGCCGCCATCACCAATGGGGATAGCTGGCTAAATGCCGGTTGCCAGCCTGTAGCCAGTATTTGCTGTGTTCCTGGGACTGTTGTAGCGCTTGGTTTGGGGGTGGTGGGGGATGGCTTTCTAATCAATTTGTATTTCTGTAAATATTTGGATTCTTGTGCAGATACTGTTAGGAATGTCTACCATGTGATTAAACCCAAAGCAGCCCAGCAAATACCATGTCTTACCCCTCCGGGCACACATGATGTATTACAATGGGCTTTGAGATCAGGGCTGGGTCAGTGAGAATACCCAGGACTACCCAGCTCCTCACCCTCACGTAGAGTCAGAGCACTTTTCTCACGGCGGCCCTGGAAAGGATGCACGTGTGTTATCTGCGTCCTCCTCTCCCTCCCCCCAGGACCCTGCTGCAGGAGGACTACGGGTTCTTTCGTGCCATCAGCCTGTGGCCCCCACTGGTGCTGATTGGTATCTACGCCACGGCGCTCTCAGCCTCCATGAGCTCACTCATCGGGGCCTCCCGCATCCTCCACGCTCTGGCTCAGGATGACCTCTTTGGTGCGCCATCCCCTGCTCCTTGCCCGGTTCTGAGCACACACCTTCCCTGCTCCCCCATGTCTGTCTCGGTCTCCACTTGGCCCAGGCTGATGTGTCTGTCGCGTTTCTGTTTGCACAGGAATGATCTTGGCGCCGGCCAAGGTTGTGTCCCGAACAGGGAACCCCTGGGGAGCTGTGCTCTATTCTTGGGGCCTAGTGCAGGTAAGCCTTCCTTTTAAGCTGTCCTTCCCCTTCCCCTAAGCCCCACCTGGTTCTGCTCCCAGGACCAGGAGGGGCTTGGGCTTGGGCTGGGTGAATGAACCACAAAGGCAGGATGTGTTGGCATTTAGCGGGGGATGCATGAACACCCAGCCTCTGGGTCCTTGTCTAGCTGGTGCTCTTGGCTGGGAAGCTGAATACATTGGCCGCTGTGGTCACTGTCTTCTACTTGGTGGCCTATGCTGCGGTGGACCTGTCCTGCCTGAGCCTGGAGTGGGCCTCGGCCCCCAACTTCCGGTGAGAGAAGATGCCTGTGTCCCCAGAGACAAAGAGGGAGGAGTTGGAAGGACTCAGTCTGGGGGGGCTGAGGCTGGAGATGGAGTGGAGTGGCTGGCCCTGAGTGCCCTTCCTTCTCTCCCCACCCCAGCCCCACCTTCAGCCTGTTCTCCTGGCATACCTGCTTGCTGGGGGTGGCCTCCTGCCTGCTCATGATGTTCCTCATCAGCCCCGGGGCCGCCGGCGGCTCCCTGCTTCTCATGGGCCTGCTTTCTGCCCTGCTCACGGCTCGAGGAGGCCCCAGCAGCTGGGGCTACGTCAGCCAGGCCTTGCTTTTCCATCAGGTTGGGGGGCTCCGAGGAGGGGGGGGGCAGGGGGGGAGGCAGTCTGGGAACCCCCCGCCCCCCACCAAATAGGCCCCCTTGTGCCATGGCTGAAGTCGGGGTTCTTGTCTGAGAGGTGGTAGTGGGGGCTGCCCGCTTGAGCCCTTCCTCTCCACACCTTACCCCTGGTCCCAGGTGCGAAAGTACCTGCTCCGGCTGGATGTCCGGAAGGATCACGTGAAGTTCTGGCGGCCCCAGCTGCTGCTCCTGGTGGGGAACCCCCGGGGAGCCCTGCCTCTGCTGCGGCTGGCCAACCAGCTCAAGAAGGGGGGCCTCTATGTACTGGGCCACGTCACCCTGGGAGACCTTGGTGAGTCGCCCCCGCCATGTCCCCCCTGCCCCCCACCCCCCCTCGTTCCTTCCCCAGCTTCCTTCTCCCTCTCGCCTCAGATGCTCTTTGTGTTCTTTGGGTCCAGAGGCCTCATGCATCTTCCCCGATGACACTTCCAACCAGCCAGAACCCTGCCCAGACCTTTTTCTTTGGCCCACTGGGGATTTGGATTCTAGGAGAAAAGTACATGGGTTTGGCCCACATCTGCTGCCTCCCTTCTCTGCAGACTGCCTGCCCTCTGACCCTGTGCAGCCCCAGTATGGGGCATGGCTGAGCCTGGTGGACAGAGCCCAAGTGAAGGCCTTTGTGGACCTTACCCTCTCGCCCTCTGTGCGCCAGGGAGCTCAGCATCTGCTGCGGATCTCTGGCCTTGGTGAGCTACTCCTCCCTGGGTCCCCTCAGCCCCCTCTGTGGCCCCTTTCAATCTCTGCTACTGTCCCCCAGAAAGTAAACCACAAACTGCAAACTCCGAAAGGAACTCAGGGTCCAGTTCAGATAAGATGCAGTGCTCAGGTTCAAAGATAACAGATGGTGGGAAAGTCCTGAGGAGATGTTTAAGGACTGGAGATGGGTGCCACTGACGCTGTTTTTTTTTTTCCTGACCCCAAAACTAGGGCACAGGTTCTGAAGACCATGTTGTGTGTCTGGGGACAATGGGAGAATTATTTGAGGCTGGGGGGCTGCTCCATCAAATCTAGGGCAGATGGTTTCCAGCCATCCAACTTCAAGACCACTATGCACTGATGTGGCCGGTGACACGATGGTATCTCAGCTGGGGCTTGGAAGGGGCAGAGAAGGAAGGGGTGGTGTGACATTGGCCTCCAGAGACCGCAGAGGATGCAGAGGGTGTGTGGGGCTGATGCTTTCTGAGCGAGTGTTTGATTCCCTGCTTTGTTACCCTGCCTTAGTGCCGCGGCCTCCAGCCTTGCACCCCGGCTTCCTGCAAACCCATCCTGAGCTTCCACCTTCTTTCTCAATCCCAGGCGGGTGTCAGCCCCCTCCCTGAGTGCATACTCCCTTCTCCACTTAGCTCTGGCTAAGGTTCAAGTGTTGGACAATATCCTGTTCGGTGTAAATCAGAACTCTGGACGATGCTCAGGAAGGGGTGACTAGTTTCATTTGCAAGATCGGCTGGAGTTCACGGCCGCACAGGTGTTTTGGGCTGTTGGAGAGCCTGGTGTCTCCTCAGCCCCACCCTCTGTGGGGGAAACCGTGCCGGGAGACCACTATTTTCTGCCACATTTGTCCTGGGAAAACTGATTCAAATGAAGGGAAAGGATTTCCTCTAAATAGTAAGTCCTCCTGGAGTGTAGAACTTGATTTACTGGTGGATTTTGAGCAACCCGTCTGTTTCAGGAGAAATAAGCCTTAGACACGATCTCAGAGTCTTTCTGTAAATTCAGCCCTGTTAAAGTGGGCGTTGGCGGGGGGGCTATCCAATTTCACATTGTTCAAAAATTTAAAAACCAGGAACTGTCAGCAGGGACCTGGGGCATTGTGTTTGCTACACACAACGCGCGCACACACAGGGGTCAGAGGCTCAGAGAATAGGCTCTGGTGCTGGGTGCCTTGTGTTTACCTGCGGACCCCAGTATCTTCTGACCGTGAGCCTTGGGGCAAGTGACTTCATTGCTCTGTGCCTCAGGTTGCTTATCTGTGAAAGGGATGAGTAAAGAGTCCCTACCTCATCGTGTTGTTCCAAGAATCAGATGAGTTAAAACACAAAGTGTTTTCAATAGGACCTCGCCCTTGGTTAGTATGTGCAGATGGTAGCTGTTTCTTCCCCGGGGACCAGGCTTTGGAGGCCCTGCAGTGGTAGGAACAGATCAGGCCCGTTCTCATCCTCCCTCAGCAGAGGCTGGAGTGCTCTTTCCCTGGGGATTGAGGCCATGAGCTTGACTGTTGTCTACTCAGGGGGTCTGGTCTGCCAGTGGAGTCAGACCCTCATCTCCATCATGAAAAAGGTGTGCAGCTAGGAGCTTGGAGCAGAGGCATCCTACTGCCGTGGACCGGAAGTGCTCGTTAGTTAAGAAGAATTGCTCCTGAGGCGAACTTTCGCCTTGTATTTAAGTGGGGGGAGATTAGTCATGCAGATGCAACAAATAAATGCATGCAAAAGCATTTGGGCAAACTAAAAGTCATTACGCAAACATGCGAAACGTTGTTGCTGGGAGAGCCCAAGCATGGTGCGAAGGCCATACCTGATGGCTGACGTGTGTCGCTGTCAGCGTGTCCGAGTGGGTGCATATTAGCGTGGGGTAAACTTGGCCTGTAAGTCTGATTCCTGTCGGTTCCTTCCCACCTCCCCCTCTCTGCCCCCAGGTGGCATGAAGCCCAACACGTTGGTCCTGGGTTTCTACGATGATTCTGCACCCCAGGACCACTTCCTGACAGACCCGGCTTTCTCCGAGGCTGCTGATGGCATCCAGGAGGGTGGGTCCCCAGCCCTGAGCTCCCTGTTTCCTCCACCCCGGGCTCCTGGGAGCCCCCGGGCTCTGAGTCCCCAGGACTATGTGGCCACAGTGGCAGATGCCCTCAAGATGAACAAGAATGTGGTCCTCGCTCGGGCCTGTGGGGCGTTGCCCCCTGAGCGGCTGAGCCGGGGGTCGGGGGGCACCTCTCCGCCACATCACGTGGACGTGTGGCCCCTCAACCTGCTGCGGCCCCGGGGTGGGCCCGGCTACGTGGACGTGTGTGGCCTTTTCCTGCTGCAGATGGCAACCATCTTGGGCATGGTGCCTGCTTGGCATAGCGCCCGGCTCCGGATCTTCTTGTGCCTGGGGCCTCGAGAGGCCCCCGGGGCGGCTGAGGGGCGGCTCCGGGCATTGCTGAGCCAGCTGAGGATCAGGGCCGAAGTGCAGGAGGTGGTGTGGGGCGAGGGGGCTGGGTCTGGGGAGCCCGAGGAGGAGGAGGAGGAGGAGGAAGGGGACTTTGTGAATGGCAGGCGGGGAGACGCCGAGGCAGAGGCCCTGGCGAGCAGTGCCAACGCCCTGGTTCGGGCCCAGCAGGGGCGCAGCCGAAGAGAAGGGCCCGGGGGGCCTGAGGGTGGGGATGGCGAGGGTGGGCCTGCCACGGCCCTCACTTTTCTGTACCTGCCTCGGCCGCCGGCCGATGCTGCCCGCTACACTCGCTACCTGGCGCTTCTGGAGACTCTGACCCGTGATCTGGGCCCCACGCTGCTCATTCATGGCGTCACCCCCGTCACTTGCACTGATCTCTGATGCCCGGGGCCTGAAGGAGAGGGTGCTCGGGTCTAGGGACCCACCTTGATTAGTGGATGTGGAAGGGAAGGGCAGCCTCCCGCCTGCGCCGCGTGTGGGGGTGTGGAGCCCGGTGGAAGGACTAGAGGATCCTGGGCTGGGCATCCATCTGTCCCTGGGAGAGGGGCTTCAGGGCACTCACGCAGGGCAGCGGTCCCGTCCCCACCACGCTGGGGGAGGAAGCCAGCAGCCCTCCCCACTGGCCTCCCTCCCTTCACCGGTGCCTTGATGGAGGCTGGGTCTCTGCTTTGACTGTCAGCTACCTCAGTCTCCCCTCGCCCAACAGATTCGCAGACCCCTGAGGTTGTGCTGTTTTTGTTGTTTTATTTTTCTAACCGCTGAACGTGAATAAAAGACCGAAACACTACGGGCTGGCTGAGCACTGCTGGGGGGGAGGGGTAGGTGGGGCAGGAAGAGGGAGAGATCTTGTATGGGGGAGTGTGGGAAGGAGCGGTGCTGGAGCGTCCCAGCGGCGAGGTGGCCATGTGCAGGACTTGGGGCGCCAGTCTGGGGGGGCGGATAGAAACGGAGGCGGCTGTGGAAAGCCCTCCCTGCTCGGCAGGAGGGGGCTGACTGGGGGAGGGACGGCAGTTTAGGGCCTAGGGGGCCACGTGACCCTCCCCCAGGAATGCGGTGACGTCACCGGGGGCGTGGCTGTCCCCAAAATTGGGGAGGAAGGGGAAAAAAAAAAGCCAGAAAAAGTTTCTTTCCCGGAGTTCCAAACGAGGTGTGGGACGGGAGAAGGGGTCAAGACTACAGGCTTGGGGCTACACGGGGCCTGACCGCTGTCTGGAGTCCCCTGTTCCAGGCCATGTCGGGGCCCACCTGGCTCCCCCCAAGGCAGCTGGAGCCTGCAAGAGCCCCTCAGGGGAGAGCACTCCCTCGAGGCGCCCCGGGGCCGCCGCCAGCCCATGGAGCAGGTAAGGAGGCCCCAATGCCGCCAAGGAGGCCACTGGCCATTCCGCGCTCACCTCTGCCTTCTGGCTCCTGCCTCCCGCCTGTCCCTGCCACCCCTTCCCTGAAGCCCTTCTGGCTTCCTGCCCCCCCTGCTCTGTTCTCGGACCCCAGGTGCTGGGGGAGGGGAGAAGAGGGACCCAAGAGGGCAGCCTCCACACGTGCCACCCTCCTCTCCTTCCCCATCCCCACCTTGGCTCTCTCTTCCCTCACCTCAGCACTTCAGCCCCACCCCAGGGTCAATTTTTGCCCCCTCCCATCTGAGCAGTGTTACCAGGCCCCCGGGGGACCGGATGATAGGGGGCTCACCTGGGTGGGGTGCCATGGCGCACCCCAGCGCTCACAGGTGAGAACTGGAATTGGGGGGGTGGGAGGTGGGGGCACCGGGGCAAGTGATTTGAATTCTCCCTGTTTTTGCTTCATCCCCAGGGGCTCCCCCCAGATAGGGGGGCCTTGCGTCCAGGGAGCCTGGATGCCGAGATAGACTCGCTGACCAGCATGCTGGCTGAGCTGGATGGAGGTCGTGGGCATGCCCCACGGCGGTCAGACCGGCAGGTGACCCCCCCGTCCCGCTCCTGCTCCTTGTCTCCTGCTCTCCTCCCTACTCCCCAGCCTGGTCCCTTCTCTAGATTCTCAAACTAGCCCCCCCGCCCCCACCCCCAGTGTGAGTGATACACACAGGAGCATGGAAGAAGCTGGGCCACCAGAGCTTACTATGTTGTCAGCCTCTTGAGTGTGAGCCCTTGTCAAAGACCAGCGCTTACCTTGGGGTCACACACATGGGGGGTTCCCCCAGGTGTGTGTCCTGGAATGGGCCTGCTCACTCCTGGTCTGTGTTTCTCCCCAGGCTTATGAGCCCCCTCAGCCCCATGCCTACCGCACGGGCTCAGGCTCCCTGAAGCCGAATGGAGGGGGTGTTCCTATTCCTCCCCAACAGCTCTCAGCATCCCCCTATGGGGGCCCCACTCCGGCCTCCTATGCTACAGCCAGCACCCCTGCTGGCCCTGCCTTCCCTGTGCAAGTGAAGGTGGCACAACCAGTGAGAGGCTGCGGCCCTCCCAGGCGGGGGGCCTCTCAGGCCTCCGGGGCCCTCCCGGGCACCCACTTCCCTCTGCCAGGCCGAGGTGACGTCTGGGGGGCTGGCTATAGGAGCCACCGTGAGCCAGGGCCAGGGGGTAAAGAGGAGGCTGCAGGAGGAGGAAGAGGACGCGGGTACGGGCCCCAGGTAAGCCCGGGTACTGGGATTTGGGGGTCCTCACAGACACTGATTGGTGGGGCAGGGGTGGTGTTCAGTGTCCTGGTTGTCAGAGGCCTGGGGTGTTGGAGCTCTGGATCCCCTAGGGATGTGTCAGGAGATACAAGAGGGAGGTGCTGGAGCTGTATGTCGGCTCCTGGGGGTGCGCCCCTGGGCCCTGGGCTGAGACCTCCTCAAATGAACTTTCCGGGTGGAACTGCCTGGACCCCTTCAGGAAGTTTGACAGCATAGGGAGCTAGAGGTAGGACCGACCCCCTGAATCCCCCCTCACAGGTCCCCCTGAGCCAGCCTCCTGAGGAGGAGCTTGAGAGGCTGACCAAGAAGCTGGTGCACGACATGAACCACCCTCCCACCGGGGAGTACTTCGGTGAGCTGACCTGAGGTGGGAAGAGGTGGCGGGGACAGGGGACTGGAGAGTCAGTGGGACCGCGAATCCACCTTCCTGATCTGCGCAGATTGACCCTGTCCCTCCCTGTCTCCAGGGCGCTGTGGGGGCTGCGGAGAAGACGTGGTTGGGGACGGGGCTGGCGTCGTGGCCCTGGACCGCGTCTTTCACGTTGGCTGCTTTGTGTGCTCTACGTGCCGGGCCCAGCTTCGGGGCCAGCATTTCTACGCCGTGGAGAGGAGAGCGTACTGTGAGAGCTGTTACGTGGTGAGCGGACGTGCTGGGGGCGGTGGGAGCTGGAGTCAGCAGCCGGAGGCAGGGGGCTTCCAGCTGAGGTGGGGACTAGATGTTCAAGCCGAAGAGAGGAACGGAGCTCACAGCCAGGGGACTAAACTGATAGGAAAGAAGGGAGGAAAGTAGCTAAATGACCAGCTGCAAGAGGGAAAGGACAATAGTCCCTTACAAACGTGAGATGTTTATTTCAGAGTTAAGGGGATATATGTTAAATTCCCACAACGCCACCCCTGTGAAGCAGCTATTCCTACTGAAGGAAACCGAAGCTCAGACACTAAATCACTTCCCTAGGAAGCTGCGGTGCTGGGACTGGTACTCAGATCTGTTCAAGGCCACTTTTCACTGAACCCCTTGCAGGGAGCTACAAAAACAGACGGGTGGGCCGGCAGGGTGCCTGCCTGGCCTGGGCTGCCTCAGCCCCGAACTTCCCACCCTCCTTCCTAATAGGCCACCCTGGAGAAGTGCTCCACGTGCTCCCAACCCATCCTGGACCGGATCCTGCGGGCTATGGGGAAGGCCTACCATCCTAGCTGCTTCACCTGTGTGGTGTGTCACCGTGGCCTCGATGGTATCCCTTTCACAGTGGATGCCACCAGCCAGATCCACTGCATCGAGGACTTCCACAGGTCGGGCCGAGTCTCCCATCTTTGTCTCAGGGTGTCTGACCCTCCCCATTTTCCTCATTTCTCCTTCATGCCCCAGTACCAACCTCTCCAGTTTCCCACCCCTGGCTTTGTCTCTTTGTTACCCATCACTCTCCCTTCTAAGATCCAAGACCATACCTCTGGCCTCTCCCGTTCCCTCGAATATCCCACCTTCTCTGGGCTCCATTGTTAGTCTCCTCCAACTCAGGGGTTTGACAACCTCCTTGGTTCCCTCCCCCGCCCCCCCCCAGGAAGTTTGCCCCACGATGCTCAGTGTGTGGTGGGGCCATCATGCCTGAGCCAGGTCAGGAGGAGACTGTACGAATCGTTGCTCTGGATCGCAGTTTTCACATTGGCTGTTATAAGTGCGAGGTCAGGGGGCCTGGGCAAGGGGAAGGGGAGGTTCTTGGGGTCTGGGGTGCTGGGTATGGTAGAACCCAGGGCTCCGGGCCTGATAGAAAGCTGTTGCTTCCGTCTTAACAGGAGTGTGGGCTGCTGCTGTCCTCTGAGGGCGAGTGTCAGGGCTGCTACCCGTTGGATGGGCACATCTTGTGCAAGGCGTGCAGTGCCTGGCGCATCCAGGAGCTCTCAGCCACCGTCACCACCGACTGCTGAGTCTTCCCAGAAGCACCTGTTACATTCCCCCTTCCCATCAGCTACCCTCCCTGACAGCC